CTACATGTCTGTAACGCCATGTTTTCTGAAAGACAGCCTTGCTTATGCCTTCTAGCTGGTTCCCTTGCAGCCCTTGGATTCTAAACTCATTACTCCAGTTCTGCCTCTGCAATCACAATGGGGTTACCTTCCCGTGTGTCTCTTTTTCTTAAACGAACAGTTGTATTGCATTTGGTGCCCCTCTTTACAAGGAGGGCATCATATTCCTTAACCATTTGTCTCTATGGTGACCCAGTTTCCAAAGACATTGTATTCGGAGGTACTAGGTTGTTAGAATTCTTTTTTAATTTGTTCTGCAGCAAAGTGTTATTGAGGATTGCTCAACAAGAGTTCTTCAGGCAAATAAGTTTGAGACACACTATTAAAGGAGCGTCTCCAGTAAAAACCTGGGGTGGAGTAATGCCAGCCTGCTCTCAGTCCACTGGGAGAACCCTGAGGCCGGTGCCCTCCCTTCTGGCTTCGCTTTTATCTGCGGTGTCACTTGAGACAACCACTCCTCTTCTTGAGTCTGAGTTTCCTTAGTTCTAAGAAAATACACTATGCTTTCCCCATGGGTTTCTCAAGGGAGTAAATTAAATGAGGCTGGCTGAACAACATCCGCTATAGTGTCTGGCACAGAAGCAGGTAAACCCTTAAGACTAGGTACTTTTGTTACGCTAGTCAGATGCTTCTGAATTTCCTGGCAGCTTTTTTTTTTTTTAATTTAAATTTTTATTTTTAGAGAATTTTCTATATGAGTGATATTTATATAATTTCTACTCCCCTCTTTCTCCCATATTTTTCAACCCTCTCAACTTAACAATGCCTTCCTCTATATTATTATTGTTACTCTTCAGAAAATACCCCAATACAAAAAAACTCATAAAATCTTATGGGGTTGCTTTGCTATGTTTGGTGTTGCTTTTGTATATAATTATTTAGGTCTGAGCACTTGGGACTGGATAACCTCTCAGAGGGCTTATCCCTGGGGAAAACTGACTCTCCATCTCTCAGCAGCCATTGATTGTAGCTCTTCATCTAGGGGTACGATCTTGTGGGATTTCCCCCATCCATGTTGGTCTATCAACTGATGTCATTCATTATACAGGTCATATTTAATCAACCATACTGTTGAGATTCCATGGCTGCAGCGTCCCTGTCCTGTCTAGAAGACACTATCTAGCAGTTGGCATCCTGGTCTTTTGGTGGTCATAATCTTTCTAGTCCTCTTCCACAATGTCCCCCGAGCTTTCGGTGTAGGGGTTGAGTTGTAGATGTACCAGCTGGGACCGGGAACCCAATGATCGGTCGCTCTCTGCATTTGACCAGTTGTGAATTTCTGGAATGATCTCACTCTGCTGCAAAAGAGAAGCATATTTGATGAGGGTCAAGAGCTACACTTACCTGTGGGTGTAAATATCAAGTGTACCTTTAGAAACTATACTATTTTGACTTAGGAAAAAGGCAGCAATAGGTTCTCTTGGATCTAAGGTCTCTCCAGCCAGGGGTAGTTGGCTAGGTTTACAGTACCAAGCATGAGTTCCTCTTCTTAAAGTGAACCTTAAATCTAATTAGACTGTTGTTGGTTATCCCTGAAATATAAGTGCCACTGTGGTACCATGGGGGATATCTTGCTGGGCAGGTTGTTGCTGGGGTCATAGACGTTATAACTGGATGGGATTGTTGATTGGCTTTTTTTCCCCCTGAGCAGCTTGCGTAGCAGCTTCTGACACTATGAGAACTAGGCCTCATGGTGGAGCCTCCCAGACCACCCATCTCAAGTCTTCCATGTCAGGTGTCTGAGGTGTGTGCTGTCTTCAGCAGTAGGATTCTACCTTCAAGATCTTGGAGTCAACCAAGGGCAATGGCAATTAGTCTTTATACTTTTTTCTTTCCCCACTTGAGACAGGGGTCTCACTATGTAGCCCTGGCTGTCCTGGAACTCATTATGTGGACCAAGCTGGCCTCAGACTCACAGAGATTCATCTGCCTCTGCCTCCCGTGTGCTGGGATTAAAGGTGTGGGCCACCATGCTTTTATCTATTGTTTTGAGAGGTTCCTTGACCATTCTGACCAGCAATTTGAGGGGAAGTTTCCCATGCCTGCCTGACACTGGGGTTTCTGTTGGATAGTCTCTGACTCTTGTGGTACAACTCCATTTCAAATACACAGACACAGACAGACAGACAGACAGACAGACAGACAGACACACACACACACTCCATATATGTACTTTTAAATAAGCACATGAAACAATGCTTTCCATAAGACTTTCCCAAAGATCCTCAGTGTGTTATTTGTCCTTCCTCCCTCCCTCTCCATCTGTATTACCCCTCTTCTTCTTTCCTGAGTTAAAGTCCCTCTTTCACTCCCCGTTTCCTGTACACAACATTAAACTCATTAAATGTATCCTATTAAACTCATCTCTAGAGTCTGTTGTCCCCTTTCCTCCCATGATCCCATTCTACTTTCCTGGCTTCTCTGGTTACTTCAGGTCACATATTCACATCTAAAGATCTAAAGCGAGGATTCAAAACCAAGAGAGGACAGGTGGCACCTGTCTTTCTGGGACTGGGTTACTTTAGGGATAACGTTTTTAATTTCCATCCCTTTACCTGAAAATTTCACGGTTTCAGTTTTCTTTACACCTGAGCCTCTTAAGAGTGTGGGGACAGGGTAGGGAGTTGAGCACTCACCTGGCTGGGCTGGTGCCCATGGAAATGTGGGGATGGAGGCAGCTCCTTGAGATTTTTATGAAGACCTTTTAAAACCTAAAAAATCTAAAAAATCATTTAGAATGATTCCTAAGCAGGGCTGTGTCAACCATTAAAGCTTTATTGTTCATCTCTTATCGTTTTTTCTTTTTATTTTTAGGAGAAGAATTTTACATATGACAATACACATTTACATCTGGTTAATATTTGAATCGATTATACTACTTAATTTCCAGCGTTAGGAAAGACTGGGCTGTTCAGCTGTCGAGTTCCTTTTTCTGACGTGTCGCCCCACCGAGGGGAAAAGGATGTCATCACGTAGTCATCGGCAGAAGAGAAATTTCGAAAGAGACCTCATTGAAAAAGGACAGCCCACAAGCACTTCGGTTCTCAGAGGAGACGGAGCTCCTCCGTGAACGCGGCTGAAGAGTGGTCCGGCGCGTCTGTCTGTCAGGCATGGAACCCAAGCGGATCAGGGAGGGCTACCTGGTGAAGAAGGTAAGTAGCGAAGCACTTACAAGGGTGGATGGACCTGGACAGCTAGACAGGGGCTCGCCGAGGATTCGCGCTCGCTTCTTACTGTGACCGTCCCTTGCGGGGATGTTCTATGTTGGATCTATTGTGCTGGAATGAGGGAATGATGCATCATACAGCCCGTGTGCCGGAGTGGAGCAGCCTCCAAACGTTCCACGACATTTACTGAACTTATCTCAGGCTACAGAACATTTGTCCTTCCAAGCCTGAGAATTCCAGACGGCAGGTGTTGAAGGTAAAAATCCAGAGGGCAGGTGTGCAAGGTAAAAATCCAGACGGCAAACTTTGCCTTTTGGTAAAAAAAAAAAAAAAAGCAAGCCTCAAATTCTTCTGTAAGAGAAGTTTCTCAGAGGACCGACTGCTCAGTTCTTATTTACACTGCAGGGTGGTGGAAGGGTTAGGGGTGGATTGGGTGGGGGTAGGTGCGATAAGCTGACAGAAGAACATAGCTAATTTCTTGGGCCTTGGATTTACTGCACGAAAGACCTTGTGTTATGTTTCAAGGGTGTGAGTGTGGTTGGAGGTGGTGATGGTGAGTGTGGGCTGCAATTTCTTACAACCTGAGTGGATCTGTAGAATGGATCACCAACGTGATAGATGTATATCGCCTTAAAGAACACAAATGGAGGGGTGCGAATACTAACGATTGCTTCGTGTCATGGGAAATTGAATCTTGTTAATGTTCCTTGTCTTTCTTCTGCTGCTGTGTGTGCTTAGAGTTGTGAAAGTTTCCTGCACAGCGCATTCACACCTAGGGGCTGCAGGCATTTTGTGGGCAGTACGCTGAGCGTAGACACACTCACATGACACCAAGTGGGTTCAGCTGCTAGGAGATGTTGCTTCTGACTAAATTCATGAGTAATTTTCTAGCCAATAAGACAGCAATGTGACTCTTATTTTCTTTTAAAGTCAATTAAATTTGTTAATTGGCTGGTTAATCAGTTTTTGAGATTGAGTCTTACTCTACACTCTTAATGTGTTTGTAAGGCTGACTTTGGACTCGTGGCAAGAATCCTGACTTGGCCTTCCAGATGTTGGGATTCCAGGAGTGAACAACCGCACACACAACTGCACCCAGATGTGGTTATTCATTAATTAAATGTAATTATTAATTAATTAAACTTATTTAATTATATTAAATAAATGTAACCTTAGCTTAAAGTTGCATTTATTTTTCTTTCATTTAAAACAGCTTATGTCTGCGGGCACTGAATGGTACACATTGTGATCTGGTTCCATATTTACTTTGGGTTAGAAAGAAATGGTGTGGAGACTAAGGTGCCCAGGCATGGGGGTGTGACAGAGTCAGAAGAAACCCCCTCTCTTACTTTGGGCAGTGAGTTCTCTATTTAGCACCCTAGGGTTTTCCTGAAGCAAACATAATTTCCATTAGTGTTCACAGTGTATCTGTGGTGGAGAGAGTTATGAGTTGGGCCTTCAGTGTATTCTCGTAGGCTAGTTGAACTTTGAAACACCCTTTCTAAAAAGAATATGTAAATAAAATCGGGTGGAGGTTATTGGTAACTGGCACCCATGCCGTCCCTCTCTGAGAACCGAAAGGAACTGTGGTTGACTGACCTCCTCCGTGGTCACACTGAGTAGTATCTCACTGTGTGTGTGTTTCTTGGTGTCTGTATGTCTGTGCGGGTACACATCTTCCATGGTGTGTGTACAAAGGTCAGAGGACAACTTTCAGGAGACAGTTCTGCCCCTCCCCCCCCCGTGTGGGTTCTGGGAGTCTGACTCAGGCCCTTCTACTTGCTGGTAGGCACCTTCACCCGCTGAGTCACTTCAGTGGCCAGGCCTTTTTTTTAATACGAAATGACAAAATTGACGCTATAAAGTGTGTGTGCTTATACTTTATAGTCACCATACCACAAAAATATCGATGATTCAATCTACGATAAGTGAGGCCATTTCCCTAGAAAGTGGGGGTGGTAGAGTCAGGACTGTGATGCCCCTGGATTCAATAGTTTCTTATCAATCACAATAATTCTTCCAGATTTTACCAGTAAGTGTCAACCTAGGAAAGAATAGAAGAGGGCATAGTGAAACCTTACACTGATATTTCCACAATGCATGTCTCCCATAATTCTTATGGAAATACACACAAATATTACCCTTAAGTTTGCATTATATTCAACTTAATATACATCTTTCCAGGCTGCTTTGCATTTCCTCTGGGACACTTAGGCACTTCTATAGAATATACAAAGGTTTTTCTAAAAATTTGGCACTTTACTTTAGTTTGAAATTTCTTTCAGTGCTGGACTTCAAACCCAGGGCCTCACATCTGTCTAGACAAAAGTCCTTTACCACTGAGCTATACTACCGACCCTCTAATTTGGCATTTCACAGAACTATTTGTTTCAGAAATAGTTTGACAGTTGTCGATGTCAGCCTGAAACTAGATTTCCTAATTAGGCATCAAAATTCTTAACTTCTTTATATTTTATGTTTCTTTCAGTTATAGAATATGTGCGTTAAAATCTATCGATCATCTATGTATGTATATATGGACCTATGTACTGTTTGATCTATCTGTCTATCTATCTGTCTGTCTGTCTATCTATCTATCTATCTATCTATCTATCTATCTATCTATCTATCCATCCACATATTTAGGAGCCCAGTCTACAGTAGGTACCACATAATTGAAGATGGACACCGGCCAGCACAATTCTCTACAACTTGTGAGATGTGGGATGTGTGATGGCTCCAAAACAATCCTGAGGAAAGAACCGTGAGAATCTCCTGTGGGGACTTCAGGAGTCATGGGTGTGGCTGCTCAGATGAAAGCATGCCAAATAATAATAATGGAAGTGGTGTCCTCCTCTTTGCTTCTCTCTTCTATTTAGTTAAAGATTCCAGGGTAGGAATTCAACATGGCTTTCTCCAATGCCTTATGAGATAATTATTTTCAAGTTAGAATAGTTTGGTTTGAAAAAAATACAGCATTGGAAAATGCCAGTGTAGGATTTTTGTCAAGTCTTGGGGGTCTATGGTCAATGGTATAAACTGTAACATGTCCCTTCTTTACTCCCCCTCTCTCATTCTCTCTCTCTCTCTCTCTCTCTCTCTCTCTCTCTTTCTCTCTCTCTCTCTCTGTGCAGCATGCACCACGGTGTGTGTAATGAGCTCAGTGGACAGCTTGCTGGGGTCGGTTTTCTCCTCCACCATGTGGTTCCTGAGATTAGACCCAAGTCACCAGGCTTGGCATCAAGCACATTTCCTCCTGAGCCATCTCATGAGTGCATGTTTCTCTTTTTGCTCTGTTAGAGATAACTGGCCACATTTCACAATGTGTGTTTCCTCTTTTGCTTCCTGGCTGAGATCCTTAATTAGAGAGTATGGTTACGAAGGGGAGAAAAGAATGTGACTGTCATTTTTCAACCCTTCCATTCTAAGTTACACTCCTTGCCTCTGAGTTTGTCACTTGCGGTTATTTTAAGGAGCATTTGTGGCCCTGTAGATACGGTTAGACCAAGCTGATCTTTCTTCAGTCCTAAAAGCTCACAGAAAGCAGGTGACTTGCTCATTGTCAAACAACTGGCAGAGGATAACGTGGGGTTCAAACCCAGGGTGGCCTAATAGCAAAGCCCTCTTCTCATGACCCCACAGCGCTTGGAAAGGCAAGGGTGTATTGCAAATAACACTGGGTTTAGCAATTCAGATCTCTTTCTTTCTGATTAGGGGGTTCATTTTTGAGAAATAAATAGTTTGATTATTCTTGATTACCTATGAATTGGATATTCTTATAACCATAGCTTTAAAACAAGAGAAAATTCCTTCATGTTATGTCTCTCATTGCTAAAAGCTAGTTTCCATGAGAACAACCCAGAACTCTTTAGGTACTGAAGAACAGACTCAAGCAACGGCTTAAGATTTGAATGTCTTGAGAAGTTGATAGACAGCCCAAGAAATCAGGACAGGGTGCTGGGGTGGGCTTCCAGAGACCTATGGTAGACAGTGCATATTGTTGAGCCTGGTGTAAGGTATACATTTATTGGTGAACTCAGGGCAAGGTCTATATTGTTAAGATCAGTGTTGAGCTAGTGTTGGGAAGAAGGACTTTGATGGGGTTAACAGGGAGATAAAAGAGGCTGACTGGGGCAGGGTTAGAAAGTACATTATATGTATGACATTATTGAAGAGTAGGTAGCTAAGTAAGTGAACCAGAAGTGGGCAAGTCTGAGATAATAAGAGCACAGAACAGACTGGAATTTCATCCCAGAATTCGTTCCTGCAGCCACGCTGTCTTCTGAACAGCATGAAATGATCCCTAAAACTTTGCCTTCTCTTCTGGCAGTAATTCGAGGGGCAACCCTAAGCATTTAGTGCTTTCATTTACAGACCATTCCAAGGATAACCCTAGGGAATGATTATAGTTATCCATTCTCTGCAGATGAGGATGCTGAGGGACAGAGAGGCAGAAGGTCTTGCTTAGGGTCCCCAAGACAAAACTTGGCACAGCTAATGAGGAACCATGCAGTGCAGCCCTGCACAGCCCGGTGCTGTGTGTAACCGCTGCTACCAGCTTTCATGTGGTCTTCACGGGTTCAAACTGCAGTGACCTTATCTTTCAAAGAATTTCTTTCTCTGATAGATGAAACCCGGGATGCTCTCGGGCCAGAATCATTCATACGGCATTGATTACAGAATTGGGTTCTGACCTGTCTGTACACATTGTGGCCATGTCTGAGGTCCGACCACAAGCTGACAGTATGCTAACGTCTTTTGAATGTATTATATCCTCTACTGTTTGTAAGGAGAAGGAGGCGCTGATGGTCTCAAGTTTGAAAGGACAAAGGTGAAATATGAGCACAAATCTAAAATTCAGGATATCAGGCTATTAAGATCACTGCCTTTCTGTCCAGCTTATTTAATGGGCTTATTTTTTTTTTTTTTGGTCAGGGAAAGTACAGTCTGATAGAACTTATTCATATAAGAATATACCACTGCATAGGCTTGTCCCCTTGCTTCCAAAAAGTTTGTATACATGTAAAACAAGTCTTCTAGAAGTTGTACAAGTCGCACTGTGGATGATATGATTTATAGTGCAACAGAAATGAAAAGCTGATTTAATATAATGTAAAACAAAATGCCCCATAGGTGTGGGGGAGCAGGGTAATGACACACACTTCTGGTGTAGTTTGGAATGATGCACAGGTCTTATGTAGTTTTGATCATCACAGAGTTCTTTCAATTTGAGCTCTGCATTGACATGTAAATCGAGAAGTTTGAAGGAAAGGGGAAGTTAGAAGTGGTTCTTCATTTCAGAAAGTAGCTGGGAGGGCTCTAAACACAGCAGTCTGTATACCTCAGCACCGAGCGTCCAGTCCTGGCTTCTGTCAGTGCAGCTGGACATACTGAGCATGAGGTCACACTCCCTTCTGTTACGTTCTGAAGTGTTTGAGAACGGAGACGCCATCGTGGTCAATTCTGTATTCTCAGTATGCAGGCCATGTCTAAAAACATAAGAAATGTCTCATCATTCCTGACCTGAACTTTTCTCATGGAAGAAATGCAATCAAAGTAGATTTATAAGAGACTTAAAATGGACTTAAAAATATAGAGTTAAAAGAGACCAGAGAATCAGGGTTCCATATGGCAGTAATATTTAAAGTATTCAAAAAAGGGGAAGAATGCCTAGCTAAGGCGGTCCTTATATGATCACATAACACAAGTTAGTAGCAGTTACTATTACTTTTGCATTAAGAAAGAGGATCCGGGGTTGTCATGGCAACCTGGTATTAGAAGTCTGAAGGCCTAGCAGTGCTACGGGAAAAAAATGTGTAGAAATCAGGGTAGAAAGGTATGTGAAACATGTAATTGAGTTTCTGATTTGTGCCTTGTATTTGATCAATATATTAATTAATATTCAATACTTGTCAGAGAGCTGACAAATTTAATGTTTTCCTCTGATTGATGCAAATAAAAATGTTTTCTGAAACTTCTACCTATTGTAACTTCCAAGTAATCTAGAAGCCGAGTGTGGTATCTCATCCTGGTACTCAAGAGGCTGAGGCAGGAGGATTGCCACAGGTTCCAGGTTAGCCTGAGCAATGTAGGCGGGAATGGAGGAAGGACAATGATAGGTTCACCCTCAGCTACACAGTGAGTTTGAGGCTAGCCTGAGCTATCTCAAGGAACAAAACTAAAACTAAAACCCAAAGCAACCACTACCAACAACAACAATAAATAACCCCCAAATTAAACTAAATACATTTGAGCAAAATGTTTCTCTGTTTTGCCTTGGTCTAAAACTATTCAATTTCTCTACCAACTCTCCTGCAGAGAGAGTGCCACCAGGGAATCCTTTTGTGAACCAGCCCCAGTTGATTTGTAGCTGTCCTGGTCCCTGAATGAGACATTGGTCCCCAAAATGCCCAAGAAGCATTTTAGAATTTGCACAATTAGTCTATACTTAGGAAAAACAGAGCCAAGTGATGCATTCGATGTGGCGCATTGAAAAGAGAAACAGGCCAGTGTGTTTTCATGCAGTGACATGAGGTTTCAGTAGAAATAGGAACGTATACACAATAAAGTATCATTGCTGACCCTGCCCATCAGTGTCCATCCTTGTCTGGGCTTCAGGAGTCCTGAATGGTGAGCTGGTAAGTTGTCAGAACTGAGCAAAATCTCTTCTAGGGTGGCAAGTCCTTGAGTCCTAGTTTGTCCTTGAGCTGGCACAGGATCACCAGCCTTCCCTCTGCCCCCAGCATCCGATGTTTGAGAAAATCCTAGTTGCTGGAGGTCCACTGTCTGATAGCCATAGGGAGGGGGAGTCTGTGTAGAAAGTGTTCTGTATTCTTTCCTGCCACATTAGTTACAATTCCTCTCTGTTTTTAATCTCAGTTTTGACTGATGTAGAGGACGGCATGCTTGAGTTGGTGTGAAGGTTCCTGAAATATGCCTGGAGCGGAAATAAGTGTGACACATGGAACATAAGCAGTACCAAAGTCAGAAAAGATAGTTCCGGGTGACCACACGTAATCACCGTCTCTCCAGCCTCTCAGCTTCACTTACTTTAAAAGGACTAGCACAATTTTAGTGGCAGGACGTCACTAGGAAGTTTAGTCTGCCCTCAAAATTGCGAGCTTCCTGCTTCAGATGTGATGACCATCAAGTTCCACCATGCCCAACATGACTTTATTTTCATTCTGAGCACTCTGTCCCCGCTGAGAGACATTTCTGGACTGGCTGATGAATGTAACTGTAGGAACTAATTCCTGACCAAGCCTAAAATGAGCCCTTTAAAATTACATGTTAAGTTTGCCTAACAAAATGTGATCTAGAACTATTCTCTGCACATTTAGAAAATGATGTTTTAAGAACTCAATCATCCTTCAGATGTATGACAGGACCCAGGATTTAATGACAGAGATCATTTTCTTTTGTAAAAGTGGTTTTTAATATTTTGTCCCATTATTTTTCTACTTAATTATATTTCCTAAAATACTTAATGCAATCCATTTTAATGTTGTTTTAAAATCCAATTGTTCCTTCTATGGTTAATCACTGCAAATTGGACATGAAATTTAAAGTTATGTCCCCAGTATTCGAGACAAATTTTGTGATGATCCATCATTTTATGTGTTTTCGAAGCAACAACATATTCACTCAGCGGTGTTCAGAAAGACTTCTGTTTTCCCTATGAAGTTGAGTATTGTTCTTTTGAGGTCTGTGAATTGTGTTGGGATTTTGATGGCATTGCATTGAATCTGTAGATTGCTTTTGGTAGGACTGCCATTTTTACTATCTTAATCCTACCTTTCCAAGAGCATGGGAAATTTTTCCATTTTCTGATATTGTCTTCAATTTCTTTCTTCAAAGACTTAAAGTTCTTGTCATACAGGCCTTTTACTTTTTTGACTAGAGTCAAACCAACATATTTTATATTTTTGTGGCTATTGTAAAGGGTAATGTTTCTCTGATTTTTTTCTTGGTCCTTTTATCATTTGTATATAGGAGGAGTACTGATAATTTTTTTTTTAGTTAATCTTGCATTTTGCTACATTACTGAAGAGGCGTTTATCAGCTGTAGGAGTCCCCTGGTAGAATTTTTGGGGTCACTGTGTCTACTATCATATCTCCAAATAGTGAAAGTTTGACGTCTTTCCAATTTGTATCCCCTTGATATCTTTTTGTTGTCTTATTGCTCTAGCTAGACCCTTGAGCACTATATTTAATAGATAAGGAGAGAATGGACAGCCTTGTCTTGTTTTTAATTTTAGTGGAATCGGTTTGAGTTTCTCTCCATTCAGTTTGATGTTGGTTGTCGGCTTGCCGACATATGTTTAGGTATGTTCCGTGTATCCTTGCTCTCTCTAAGACATTTATCATGAAGGGATGTTGGATTTTGTTGAAGGCTTTTTTTCAGCATCTAATAAAATGATCAAATAATAGCCAGACTACAGTCCACAGTTCCAGAGAAGCTAGGTAATAAGAGGGACCCTAAGAGGGACATGCATGAATCACCCTAGGAAGGGGAGATAGAAAAGATCTGGGTTAGACTGGCAACAGATCAGAAGCAGAGGGGAGGGGATGGGGGTGAGAACATCAGGGAACAGGATGATCCAGTTGTGGAAGGGATGGAGAAGGAAAGCAATGAAAGAGACATCTTGACAGAGGGAGCCATTATGGGGTTAGGGAAAAGTGTGGTGCTAGGGTCACAAGGATGACCTCAGCTAAGACCCTAATCAGTAGTGGAGAGGGGACCTGAAACAGCCGTCTGTAACCAGATTGATGACTACCCTAATTGCGATCATAGAACCGTCATCAGGTAACTGATGGAAGCAGATGCAGAGATCCACAGTCAAGCTCTGGGCTGAGCTCCTGGAGGTTCCCCAAAGAGAGGGAGGAGGGGGGACAAGATCATGACGGTGAAACCCACAGAGTCAGCTGACCTGAGCTTCTAAGAGCTCACGGACACCAGACTGACAGCTGAGGAGCCTACATGGGATTGAAGTAGGCCCTCTGCATGTGGGTGACAGTTGTTTGGCTTGATGTGTTTGTGGGACCCCTGACAGTAGGTCCAAGATCTATCCTGGTGCATGAACTGGCTTTTTAGAGCCCATTGGTGGGATTCCTTGTTCAGCCTTGATGCAGTGGGGAGGAACTTGGTCCTGCCTCTTGATATACCAGGCTTATGGGAGGCCTTACCCTCTCTGAGAATTGGATGAGGATGGGGGAAAGCAGGAGGAGGGGAGGAAGGGGACACTGTGGTTGGTATGTAAAATGAACAACAACAACAACAACAAAAGACGTCTGAAAGAGTGGCAAGTGCTCTTAACCACTGCTCCATCTCTCCAGCCCCGAAACCATTCTTTTCTTTCTGTTTGCATTATTTTGATGATTTAAGCTTATTCACCTAGTATTCCATACCCCAACACTAATGAACACTCGATGCTCATGTATTTTTAAGTAGATTTTTTTATTTTTATTTTTGGTTTTTTCAAGACAGGGTTTCTCTGTAGCATTGGAGCCTGTCCTGGAACTAGCTCTTGTCAACCAGGCTGGTCTCGAACTCACAGAGATTTGCCTGCCTCTGCCTCCCGAGTGCTGGGAATAAAGGCATGAGCCACCGCCTCCCGGCTAAATAGATTTTTTGAAGTCTAGCAGAGTAACGGCATATGAGTGGCATCCCTGTACATGAGTCATTCTACTTTGCCCTTACTCATTTCCTCCACCATCACCTCCCCCAAGCCCTCTCACATCCTCCTGCTGGTTCCCTCACTCACCAGCTGATCACTCTTCTGCTTACCTTATACCCTCTTATTTCCCAACTCTCACGCAATCTCTTCCTCCCTCTTACAGTCTATTCTCTAATTTCATCACACACACACACACACACACACACACACGCATGCGCACACACACATGCACACACAGACAATACACATACAGACATATACACACATGGACACATACAGAGAGAGAGAAATACACACACATACACAAACACACACACACATACACAAAACCACACACAGACACACAGGCACACACAGACAGATATAAATATACACAGACACATACATACACACATACACATTTACATCTACAGTGACAGAGACACAGAGAGAAATTCACACACATATAGACATACACACAAACACATACCCAACACCCATACACACACAGACACACAGGCACACACAGACAGATAGACATATACACAGACACACAGATACACACTACAATACACAGACAGAGAAATACACACACATATAGATAGACACATATGTACATACACACTCACACATATAACTTGAAATCTAGGTGCCACATAATACTTTTCGGGTCTAGCCTACTTCACTTGACACAATACTTTCTAGCAGATGTCGCAATTTCATTTTTGGTTGTACCTTTCTAAAACTGTGTATGTGTCTTAATCCATTCAGCTGATGATGGGCATCTAGGATGGTTCTTTGACCTGGCTTTTGTAAATTATGCAGCAGAGTTA